TCAAGAGGAAGGAATATATTTTGAAGAAACTTTTGCATCGATAGCTAGATTAGAATCCATTCTATGCTTTTTGCATTTGCTTGCTACAAAGGTTTTACATTATACCAAATGGATGTCAAAAGTGCATTTTTAAATGGATAAATTCAAGAAGAGGTCTTTGTTGAACAACCTTCTGGTTTCAAAGATCACAAATATCTAAATCATGTTTTCAAACTTAGAAAAGCACTTTATGGGCTAAAACAACCTAGGGCTTGGTATGAACGTTTGAGTAAATTTTTAATTTCAAATGGTTTTTCTGTTGGAAAGGCCGATATCACACTTTTTTGTAAAAAAATAGAAGAATGACATGCTTATCGTTCAAATTTATGTGGATGATATTATATTTGGTGCCACTAACATATGTTTTTGTGAAGAATTCTCTAAAAGTATGAGCAAGGAATTTGAAATGAGCATGATGGGAGAATTAAAATTCTTCTTCGGTTTGCAAATTAAACAAACTCGTAATGAAATCTTCATAAATCAAAGCAAGTATTTGCTAGAGATGCTCAAAAAATTCTACATGGATGGGCTAAAACCAATGAACACTCCCATGAGTTCAACAATTAAGCTCGACAAAGATGACCATGTTACTCATATTGATGTGACTAAATAGCCAGGTATGATCGGATCTCTTCTTTATTTAACCACTAGTAAACCCGATATGATGTTTAGTGTTTGTCTATATGCTAGATTTCAATCTAATCCTAAAGAATCGCACCTCAAAGCCGTTAAAGGAATTCTTAGATATCTTAATGGAACTAAAATGTTAGGTCTTTGGTATCCAAAAGGAACTCACATTAACTTACTTAGCTATTCGGATGCCGATTGGGCTAGTTGCACTATTGATCGCAAGAGTACTGGTGGAACATGTCACTTCTTAGGCTTCGCACTAGTCTCATGGTTTAGCAAGAAATAAAATTCTGTTACTTTATCTACATCCGAAGCCGAATATATTTCCGCTGCTAGTTGTTGTGCACAAGTATTATGGATGAATGTACCTATTATGTGTGATAACACTAGTGCCATAAATTTGTCTAAAAATCTTATATTGCACTCACGAACAAAACACGTTGAGATTAGACATCATTTTCTTAGATATCATGCTCAAAAAGATGGCATTGGTTTAGAATTTGTCAATACAAAAAATCAATTGGCCGATATCTTCACTAAACCTCTTTCTCTCGACCATTTCACACACATTCGTAGAGGTTTAGGAATTGTTGATGAAATTGAAATAAAAAATTGATGTGGTGACTATTTTGCTCTTTTTATTTTTTAAAAAAAAAAAGTTTTTTTGACGAGTTTATCGGACGTGTCCGATACATAAAGGACAACTATAACGGACCGTCCTCTAAGTCATCTGGTTCAACAGAAACTTTTTTTCCTATATCGAATGATCCGGCACATTATACCGGACGTCCGATAAACTGAATCTCACATTTTAAAATTGCAAAAAATATCATTTTCTTCCCACTTTTTTTCTTCCTTTCTTCATCTCCTTCACATTCTTCACTACCCTCCACTCCAAATTCCTCATTCCACTCTTCTAATTTTTCAATTTTTACGCAACCCACTTCCTTCACTCTTGTTTCCAAATCAGAATTTTGAAAAAGGGCAAAATTTCTCTCCTTTCCCCAATCTCATGCCCTAACTCTCGTTTTTATTTTTTGCTTCAATTCAAACAATGTTGAGAACAAAGCAAGTTGGAGAAGGGGCAAAAACTACGGAACATCAGCCTACAACGCCCTCCTCCGACGAAGAAACGGATTTCGAACCTTAAGAGGCGGTGAACCCATTTGAAAAATCTCTCATTCTACTAGGTAAAAATGTTGATTTTTCAGCTTTTTCTATTGAAGCGAATTCTTTGAAAAAATGGGGTGGATTTCGGTACATTCGTTGGAAGAAAATGCTTACCCTCAACTCTTGAAAACCTTTTACACAAAAATGGCTATTACACCACGTTCCGATAGTATCTCCCGTCTTATTAAAAATGTAAGGACCACTGTTACTAAAGCTCTTATTGGGGAAATTCTTAGGCTTGAACCATGTGATACGCAAGTTTTTGTTCATAAAGCTCACCCGATCTTAGAAGGTTATAACCCTAGTGACGCATGTCGTCGTTTGATGGGGAAAGATTTTGAAAACATCACAAAAATTAGTGCTAATCAACTCACTCTACCTTACAAAGTATTGCAAAATATCATGGCAAATATTATTTTACCTAGAAAAGGGCATCGATATGAGGTTAATTACTTTGATTTGTTCATTCTCGATTCATTTCTCATTGGCCGAAGGTTAGATTTCCCAACAATTACTTTAGGTCTTATGAAACTTATCCACACTTCTCGTTATTCCAAAGCTTTGTCCTATGGTATGCTTTTAACAAAAAATTTCAAACACTTCAATGTCTCTCTTGAGGGTGAAGCCGTCATCAAACCTCGTCCCACCAATACAATAAATATTCAAACCCTTAAGCGCATGAAAATATTTAAAACTCAAGGACAATGTGTGGTTTACACTAAAGGGTTCAACCCCGCCTCGGGTCCTTCCACATTACCGTTTGAGGACGAAGAAGATGCCGAAGAAGACGTACCGTTACTCTTGCATCCACCGTCGATTAGTACCTCTTCATCTTCTTCCTGAGGATTCACTTTTATTGAGGATCAGTATAATTTACTCACCGGGCGTCTTGACTCTCTCATGACTTCAATTGATGGGCTTAGAGGTGTTCTTCAGAATGTCCAGTCATAGTAGGCCGCGATCTAGGCTCGACAGGATGCCATTCTTGCACTACAGGCTGAAATGCATGCTCAGTAGAATGCGTTCTATGCTCACTTTTACACACATTTTCCTCCACCACCACCTCCGTTGTCTTAGCTTTTAGTTTTATCATTTATCTTATGCATTTTTTTTGTACTCCCGAACTCATTATGACTCTATCTTTTATGGACTCATTATGATATTATGAACTTATGTCTCTTCTCTTATTTGTCAATTTTTTGATTATGCCAAAAGGGGGAAAATTATACATAAATAATATGCATGATTTATTATATGAGATGATATGCATGTTTATATGAGATACATATGAGACGGTATGTATGATAGGAATGCTTAAGTAAGGGGGAATACACGTGCAAAAGATAGGGAGAATTATTTCGTTACTTATCATTTTTTTACTTATTAAATCTCCATCATCTCCTGTTTGTCACTTTCAAAAAGGGGGAAATTGTTGACCTACGGTTGACTTCTTATTTTGATTATAAGAAAACAAATTTTATTTAACGATTGTATTTGAGTGATTATAGAAGTTTATGACAAGCATGGACAAAATGATGCTTTCGAAGCTCTCGCAAAATTGGACAAAGTAGAAACCAAGCTACATATCAAGACAACGAGCACTTCATCAAGTCAAACAAAGAAGATATTAGATTTAGAGACCTTGATTTCAAATGTTAAGGTAAAACACTTTAATATTTGACATATACGTCATTTGAAACTCAAGAAACGTTTCTTCGCACAACAAACACGATTTTTGCATAAAGAAAAGCATGAACCTATTATATACTTTAAGAAATGTCCAAAAGTCCATAAAACATGTTAAAAACATCCTTTATGAAATTAAATCTTGTTATATTATTTAAAGAAGGAAAATTTCCAAACATGATCTAATATAGAGGATGCATCCAATAGGTCTAGCGGACGTCCAGTATGACAGGTTGTCCAACGGTCAAGAAATTGAATGTTCTGACTTCTGAACAAAAAACAGTTATTTGACCGTCTGGTAAGCTAGCGGACGTCCGGTAGAATAGAACAGAACTTTTGACCATTTTGCTGCTATAAATACCAGGTCATTTTGCATTCAATGTAAGACTTCCTTGAGCAGTTAAAGTGAGATATTACTAATCTATCTACTCAATCATCTTTATATATATATATATCTATTGCTTCAACTTGTTTATATTAGAATAACCTTTGATTGATTCAACTTTTGGAAATCATTTTTATCAAAGTGTTTCTTATCTAACACTTGAGTTTCAATCATTGCTATCTACTAAAGTGTTAGCCATCTTCTCTTGTTGTATTCAATTTTAATAATATCATTTATAGCAAGAGAAGTCTTCACTTGTATACTCCTCATTTTTCAAACTTGCGGGTCGAGTTGAAGTCCCGAAAATTTCAACATTATAAAGGAATGGTGCTCCTTGTTTGTAAGTCATTGAAAGCGTTGTAAGAAGGTTGGATTACACCATAAGTCAAACAATGTAGTGAAAAAGAGCTTATTCGTGATGGAGAGCTTGGTAATGGGGGACGTCGATCATTACATTGGATCGAACCTCCATATTATATCGTTTGACTTCTCTTTCCTTTTACTTATTCTTGTTTTTATTTAATACTTGTGAATTTATCTTAGTCTTCGTTCCTCTTCATATTTGACTAATTGCTATATTTAAGTGAGAATTAATTGTATATTTAAAACTATTTTGAAAAAGCTACTATAACCAATTCACCGCCCCCCCTCTCTCCGTTAGCTAGTCTTGAGCTTTCATGCTATTCATAGTAAATGGGGTCAATTTATTGGATTTTATGTTACTATATCATAAATGGAGGAGACTGGAACTTGTATTTGCAAAAGAGAGTGTGCTGCCTGCATCTTTTAGCCTAGTTAATGAACATATCTATAAATTTTATCTCTTGCAAATTTTAATTTTATGGACTATTTTATATATTTTGTTGGTTGTGTTTGTAGGATGAGATGATTGTCAAAGAGTATGAATATCTTGTAGAGAGGGCAAATGAGCAACAACTTCCTGAAGATACCCCTTTGGAAGAGATACCTGTAGATGATCCTGATGCTGGAATTAATATCATGATGTCCGTTCTAGATACGAAGCCCGAGCGTCAAATTCTTGGGTTAAGAGATGGCCGCCTTCAAGACATTGGGACATCTTTTTCTAACATATGCAGTTTGGAGAAGGAGTTGGAAGCAGAACGTGCTGCTCGTAAGGTAGCCAATGCGGCTCGAGTAAACATGGAACAAAATATGCAAAACAAGCTAAAGGTTGTCGAGCAACAATTCAATTCTACATAACAATCTTGGCATCATTCTATACAACAGTTATGTGGTAAAGTTCCTAGCTTCATTGTACCACCATTTATACCATTGTCAATAGAGAATAATGCTAATGAGAAAGATTATGCTATTGAGGATGAAGAGAATAATTTTGGTGAGAATTAGTGCAAGTCTAATTAACGAGACTGAAGAGTCATTTTTTTATTTGCATAAAAATAGATATATAGTATGCTTGCTCTGCTTATTTTAACTTTAGATGTAATCATACTTGGTGAAACTCATTTATTCGTATTTTGATGAAATATTTTGGA